CCGACATGAGTACACTCAAATACTTTACAATGCCTTTTCGTTCTATGTTATGATTTGACTGCGTTTTGTACGTGGTTTCTGCTTTTATATTTTCATTTTTTCCGTAGCGCATGAGATGGAACTTATCTTCATTAATACCATATTATTTTATGTAGCCAATTGAAAGACTTGATTTACATCTGATTAGAGGTTTGCTGTGCGCTCTCTGTTGTCTACTCTCATAACAATCCTAGTGTCATCTACAAAGGATGATACAGTGCTATAGATTGTGTCCTTGTCTATGTCCGATATGAGGATGAGAAAAAGTACTGGAGCAAGCACAGTACTCTGGGGGACTGAGCTATTCACGGTTGATGGTTCGGATTTTATTTTGTTGACTATTACACATTGGTTCTATTAGTCAGGAAATTGTAGATCCATCTGCCTATTTTTCCGGTAATTCCTTTTGCACGCATTTTCTGTGCAATAACAGCATGGTCACATTTGTCGAAGGCTTTTGTGAAATCTGCGTAAATTACACCAGCGTTTTGCTCGTCTTCCATGGCATCTAATGTCATGTCATAGTGGTCCAGCAACTGTGACAGGCAAGAGCGCCCTGTTCTGAACCCATGTTGTCCAGGGTTATGGAGATGCTGTGATACCATGTATTTTGTGATCTTACTTCTTAGCACTCTCTCAAAGATTTTTATGATGTGCGATGTTAGTGTTATTGGTCTGTAATTTTTTAACTCTGCCTTATATCCTCCTTTATGGACTGGTGCTATCTCTGCTGGTTTTAGTATGTCAGGGATAACGCCAGTATCTAGAGTATCTCCAAAGTGTTACCATGGGTCACACTTTTCGAAACTGTGCGTCAAATTTCGCGAAAGCTTTCGAAAACGTCAGCAATTTTCATGTCTTCCATGACATCTAAGGCCGTCATAGTGGTCTAGCAATTGAGAGAGGAGAGTAGTGGCGATGCAGCTACACATTACTCGTTTAATTTTGTTCACTTTAAACTTATATTGGCCTTGTCCAAAAGCACATCTAAATTATGCAGGCGCAGAGTCACAATAACGTGGCAGAAGATATGCAGCCCAGATATGATAAAACGACGACGTTTCGGTCCGTTTTGGAGCATTATCAAGTGCTCCAAAAACTTGATATGATTGGTTTAATAATTGTCCAGGACGGACTGAAACATCGAATATTCATTTTTTATATTAGTTTAATCACACCTAAATTAATTTCAATCAAACCTTAGCCTGTTGCTGTAACTGATCTGTAGCCGGTTGCGAGAGTTGTTCTACTCCCCAAGTCCGGTCTGGGGCCATGTTTGTATGTGAAACATTTTTACTCTATGCAACTTTAATTTTTATTAGTGCTATGTGCAAGATGGTGGGCAAGAGGCGAGCAAGGCAGGTCAGTGGTGGGAGGCATGTCTCCGACGCCCGCCCAGGGGTCCACTGCAGCCACTTACCCCGGGGTAGAAGTGCACCCAAATATTTCCCCGGCGTGTTACTGCCCACTGCATTACTGGGATGAGAGGCTGGCCGCCGCCACATGACCCGCGCTCTCAGGGGAGTGGAAGATGCTGGGCGTATTGCAGAGTAGTTTTCATAATTCCTGGTTGTACTGTACACCTGTTTATTTTGATTTTAGAGTCGCTGGTTGCGTTTGTAATTGTTTGTGTTTCGGTTGCTATAAACGTTTGGATGTTGGTGATGTACTTGTATTCGCCTAGTTGTACTTACCTTTCATATCTAGCGAGTCCATATCTAGTCAAACACAAAACAAAGTTAAAAAATGGGTTCGGAGGCTAGTCCCGAGCTGAGGGGTATGAGCTACGAGGAAAGATTACTGGAACTAAACCTCACGACACTGGAAGACAGAAGTTAGGCGAGACATGATCACTACCTATAAAATTCTCAGAGGAATTGACAGTAGATACAGATAAACTATATAGCACGGGTGGTACGCGAACAAGGGGACACAGGTGGAAACTAAGTACCCAAATAAGCCACAGGGACATTAGAAAAGAACTTTGTCAGAGTAGTTAACAGATGGAATACATTTGGCAGTGATGTGGTGGAGGCTGACTCCATACACAGTTTCAGATGTAGATGTGATAGAGCCCAGTAAGTAGGCTCAGGAATCTACACCGATTGACAGTTGAGAGGTGGGACCAAAGAGCCGAAGCTCGACCCCCCAGGAAACATGATTAGGTAAGTACCTATAGTGCTTGCTGGTACAGCAAGCACCACCAAGGGCCCATGACTTCAGCACGAACTCTACTCATAATTGGCATAACTGGCCGATCTCAGCGTGTTAAAAATGAAACTTAATGAACACCTACAATGTACACGTGATTATCTAGGCTGTGACTAATACGTCAGGCTGAGCAGCAGAAGCAGCGTCGAACAGCCTGGTTGACCAGGAGGCCTGTTCAAAGGTTCAAAATATAAAGTTACTAGGCCTAAGAAAATTTAGTTTTCTCGCGTGCTCCACAAAATTAATAATTTTTTCCAAAATATAATTTTTGTTCGTGGCAGTAAAAGTTTATATAAGTACTAATATTATTACTACACGAGGTGGGTTGTGTTGTAGTAGGGAAGGAGGGCAGATGGTGCGGGCGTTCAAGTTCAAGTATGTTTATTGAGACAAGAAAGAAATACATCTCAAAGGGATAGAGTAGCTTAGGCTATTGACGTTGTACTCACCTAGTGTGGTGATAGTCACTGTGGCAGATGTGGTGTACCCTCGGGAATATTTTATGGTCAGCCTTCATTGTTAAGGTCAGGTAAGACGTGTCGGTGACGTCTCTCTCACGTGAGCCCTGCCCTGTCCGTGACGCGGCCCGTGTTGCACCAAGATTATGAAAAGGAATACTAGTGTAATGGGATAGGGATGGATGAGGGATGGTGGTGGTCTTGGAAGGGGTGAGCAGGTTAGGAGGTGGGTCGTATAAGCTGTGGCTGACTGTTAACTGTTTCCAGCATGGTCTGGCTAAATACTAGGTGTGGACTCCACGGGTTCTGGTGTTGCTAATACCTTACCTTGTGGTTACTTCGCTATGATATCGGGGCTCAACGCCCCTGCGGCTCTGTCTCCGACCGCGCCTCCTGGCTAGCTGGACTAATAAACCAGGCTGTTGGACGCGGCTGCTCGCAGCCTGACGTCTACAGGCGTCAGGTATCACACTTCTAATACATCACATACTCCCATACTGTGGTATCACAAACTCCCAGTGAGTATAAGAAATATTGCCGGAACAAAAGTCTTAACAAAAAAACTTGGCAGGTTTCTGCAAGAATTGCCTGACCAACCGGGCTGTAGTGGATATGCGGGCCGCTCCAGGCAACAGGCTGCTGGATGAAGCTCTTGCCAGCTTATCCTGGCCCCGGGTCGAGCTTGGGGAGTAGAAGAGCTCCCAGACCCCTACACCTTTACCATGGTGCGGGCTAAAACAGTATGACGGGGGAAGAGTTGTATTTTATATATACCAATAAAACAAATGAAACTTAATTAATGTATAAAAGTTTCATGATGTATACATGGCCTGAGGTGAGGCTAGCCTCTTGTATGGATTTAATCTTGTATGGTCCCTTCCACCCCACTTCCCCCATGACTGCTCCTGTCCCGATTGGTCCCTTCCATTTATTATTTTCTACCACAGTGGCCAGGTCTGTGGTAGAAAATAATAAAATAAAAAAACCCTACCCCGTCTGGTCCTGACCCGTATGGTGGGACACCCCTCCCCCCTCCCCTCCCCTTCCGTCTGGTTTCGTCCCGTCAGTGCCAGTCCCTTATCGTGTCCCCGTCCCTTATCGTGTCCCCGTGTGGCTCTGCTCCACATTTGATCACTTACACAGAGGATACTTACGTGACGCAACCTGCTAGCTACAAGTGTCAGGCGAGCTGCCATGCCCACCTGGCCGTATCATTAGATGGTGGTTGTGATCTCTGGCGGGATTCGGGCAACATTTTCACGGCATAACGCTGTATTTTTGCTAGCTTTCCTCATTTGACGAGTCACTTACACTCCCGGGTCTTCAATGGCAGAAGCGTGGGTGACACTGTCCACACTTTCCGCAATGTTATATCCAGCTGAAGCCTCGGGTTTCGTGTGGAGGCGGATTTTGGTGGCCGGTCTGTACCCTGACCTTTGTTGCCTTTGTAACAAAAGCAGGTGTAACTCAGCCGTGTGGAATTGAAGGGCGTTTCCAGAACTTGCACCTTGCAAACATGTGCTTCTTATCTTATAAACCAACTAACAGAGTTCTTTGGTTTAATATAGAGAAACAATTGAGTGCTCACAATGCACATTCTACTTTGGATTCAACTTAAATTGACTTAACTTCGACTCGGAGAAGATTCTGGTAAATTCGTGTTTGAAAATGAGTGTTGAAATTTAGAGCAGATTACTGGGTATCACATGACGTTGGATAGCCGGATTGTTTAAAGCATAGGTTAAACATTTACTGGTGAGTGTATCTGAGCATAAAGAGGAACTGCAGTGTGTTTGTCTTGTCACATGATTAGGAGGGGCAGATTAAGGTGGTTGGTTCATCTACATTCACTTGCCAGTAAACTGATATTCAATGTGCCGCCTAGGTTACAAAAGTTGAACCCAGCTGTGCCTCTCTGGCTAACACACTTTCTACCCTCTTACTAAATATGATAAGTTAATTGTTGAATTTGTTATTCAGAGCAATTGTTTTTAAAATGTTTAATATGGAGAAAGATCAGTCTCGTACAGTGTTTGAGTTGATTGTTTCTGTGGTCTGTGTAATTTGCGGACAATCCATAGGTTATGTTGTAACAAAATTGTTCACCACCTCGTGGGACTTGCACAAGTGGCTCAACTGTGTGACAGTTATTAATGACAGAATTGTTGGTGATGCAGATGGATGCAGTAAAGTCGAAGATAGTGTAGATTCCTTATCACGATATCTTTTGCAATTTTTCTGTTGCGTGTTTCAGTATGGTGTCCTCTTAACACTTGTTATTTCTCTTTCCAGGTGGCCATAAAAATCATAGACAAAACTCAATTAAATCCAGGGTCTTTACAAAAAGTAAGTATTACAATATTTAAAAAAAAAAAAAAATATATATATATATATATATATATATTTGAATATATATATATATATATATATATTTGAATATATATATATATATATATATATATATTTTCAGTTGTATATAGTCCTGGGGACCATTCAGGCTTGTTTGCATATATATATTTGAATATATGTATATATATATATATATTTGAATATATGTATATATATATATATATTTGAATATATGTATATATATATATATATTTGAATATATGTATATATATATATATTTGAATATATGTATATATATATATATATTTGAATATATGTATATATATATATATATTTGAATATATGTATATATATATATATATTTGAATATATGTATATATATATATATATTTGAATATATGTATATATATATATATATTTGAATATATGTATATATATATATATATTTGAATATATGTATATATATATATATATATATTTGAATATATGTATATATATATATATATATATTTGAATATATGTATATATATATATATATATATTTGAATATATGTATATATATATATATATATTTGAATATATGTATATATATATATATTTGAATATATGTATATATATATATTTGAATATATGTATATATATATATATATATTTGAATATATGTATATATATATATATATATATTTGAATATATGTATATATATATATATATATTTGAATATATGTATATATATATATATATATTTGAATATATGTATATATATATATATATTTGAATATATGTATATATATATATATATTTGAATATATGTATATATATATATATTTGAATATATATATATATATATATATATATATATATATATATATATATATATATATATATATATATATATATGACAATGTCAGACCACGGAGGAAAAATGAAACAGGAAATTTCCTTAAGTACTTTCGTATATTAAATACATCTTCAGAAGGTCATTTTACAGATCGAGTGATGGGTATAAATAGGCAGGAAGGAGTGGTGAAGTAAGGTGAGGTACAATACTTGGACAACGCAGAAGGCCCATTGGCCCATCAGATGCACCCAATTGGCACATCCGATGTAGCACAATGGCCCATCTGATACAGCAGACATACAGGCATAATATATAGGTAATTATAACATAAAGAAGTAAATATATACAATAAATTAGTGGTCCTCGATTAGTGGCCTAATTTATTGTATATATTTACTTCTTTATGTTATAATTACCTATATATTATGCCTGTATGTCTGCTGTATCAGATGGGCCATTGTGCTACATCGGATGTGCCAATTGGGTGCATCTGATGGGCCAATGGGCCTTCTGCGTTGTCCAAGTATTGTACCTCACCTTACTTCACCACTCCTTCCTGCCTATTTATACCCATCACTCGATCTGTAAAATGACCTTCTGAAGATGTATTTAATATACGAAAGTACTTAAGGAAATTTCCTGTTTCATTTTTCCTCCGTGGTCTGACATTGTCACATTCTTAATCACGTGTTTATTTTCGTGATATACACACATATATATATATATAAAGTTTATGGACGGGAGTACCACCTCTGGCTGGAAGGGGACCCATAGCCCTGGAGGAATGCGCGCACAACGCATTAGAGGGAATGTTTGGGTTCTCTCCAATACAGTTTGTGTTTTCTCCTACCACACCCTTCCATTTTAGTTTTGCTTTATCAGACAACTACTGTACATCTTGTAACCTTTAAATAATACATTGAGTGTTGAAAGGTTATGGATCTTTTGGAGCTCCTCCGCTTCCGGACAAGAATCGAGGACCACTATACAGAATATGTAAAAGTGCTTCAAAGGTTTTGAATAACACTGTAGTCTAACCTTGTATTACTTGCCAGAATGGTTACTCATCAGTGTCGGCTCATCCACCCTCCAGTCTTTCCCCCTTCCCCCCCGTCTTCCCCCCCCCCCCCGTCTTCCCCCCTTCCCCCCCCCCCGTCTTCTCCCCCCGTCTTCCCCCCCCCGTCTTCCCCCCCCGTCTTCTCCCCCCGTCTTCTCCCCCCGTCTTCCCCCCCCGTCTTCCCCCCCCGTCTTCCCCCCCCGTCTTCCCCCCCCGTCTTCCCCCCCCGTCTTCCCCCCCCGTCTTCCCCCCCCGTCTTCCCCCCCCGTCTTCCCCCCCCGTCTTCCCCCCCCCGTCTTCCCCCCCCCGTCTTCCCCCCCCGTCTTCCCCCCCCCGTCTTCCCCCCCCCGTCTTCCCCCCCGTCTTCCCCCCCCCCGTCTTCCCCCCCCCGTCTTCCCCCCCGTCTTCCCCCCCCGTCTTCCCCCCCGTCTTCCCCCCCCCGTCTTCCCCCCCCCGTCTTCCCCCTTTCCCTGTCTTCCTCCCTTCCCCCCCCGTCTTCCTCCCTTCCCCCCCTCTTCCCCCCCTTCCCCCCCTTCCCCCCCCGTCTACCCCCCTTTCCCCCCCCCCGTCTACCCCTCCTTCCCCCCCCGTCATCCCCCCCTTCCCCTCCTTCCCCCCCCGTCATCCCCCCCTTCCCCCCGTCTTCCCCCCCCTTCCCCCCGTCTTCCCCCCCCTTCCCCCCGTCTTCCCCCCCCTTCCCCCCGTCTTCCCCCCCCTTCCCCCCGTCTTCCCCCCCCTTCCCCCCGTCTTCCCCCCCTTCCCCCCGTCTTCCCCCCCGTCTTCCCCCCCTTCCCCCCCGTCTTCCCCCCCTTCCCCCCGTCTTCTTCCCTTCCCCCCGTCTTCCCCCTTGCTCCCCCCGTCTTCCTCCCTTCCCCCCCCCCCGTCTTCCTCCCCCCCGTCTTCCTCCCCCCCGTCTTCCTCCCCCTGTCTTCCCGCCTTCCCTCCCCCCCCGTCTTCCCCCCTTCCCTCCCCCCCCCGTCTTCCCCCCTTCCCTCCCCCCCTGTCTTCCCCCCTTCCCTCCCCCCCTGTCTTCCCCCCTTCCCTCCCCCCCTGTCTTCCCCCCTTCCCTTCCCTCCCCCCCTGTCTTCCCCCCCTTGTCTTCCCCCCCTTCCCTCCCCCCCTTCCCTCCCCCCTGTCTTCCCCCCTTCCCTCCCCCTGTCTTCCCCCCTTCCCTCCCCCTTGTCTTCCCCCCCTTCCCTCCCCCTTGTCTTCCCCCCCCTTCCCTCCCCCCTGTCTTCCCCCCTTCCCTCCCCCCTGTCTTCCCCCCCCTTCCCTCCCCCTGTCTTCCTCCCCTTCCCTTCCCCCTGTCTTCCCCCCCTTCCCTCCCCCCTGTCTTCCCTCCCCCCCTTCCCTCCCCCCCTTCCCTCCCCCCTTCCCCCCCTTCCCTCCCCCCCTTCCCTCCCCCTCCTTCCCTCCCCCCCTTCCCTTCCTCCCTTCCCTTCCCTCCCCCCCTTCCCTCCCCCCCTTCCCTCCCCCCCTTCCCTCCCCCCGTCTTCCCCCCTTCCCTCCCCCCGTCTTACCCCCTTCCCTCCCCCCCCCTGTCTTCCCCCTTCCCCCCCCCCCCGGTCTTCCCCCTTCCCTCCCCCCCGTCTTCCCCCTTCCCTCCCCTCCTGTCTTCCCCCCTTCCCTCCCCCCCCGTCTTCCCCCCTCCTGTCTTTCCCCCTCCCGTCTTCCCCCCTTCCCTTCCCCTCGTCTTCCCCCCTTCCCTCCCCCCCGTCTTCCCCCCTCCCTGCCCCCCGTCTTCCCCCCTTCCCCCCCCCCGTCTTCCCCCCCTCTCTTCCCCCTCCCCCCCCCCGTCTTCAAAAGAGTTGAAATCGAAGTTCTACTGAACTTACTGGATCCCGTAGCCTCTCCGAGGCATAAACTAGGATTCCAGGTGTAATGGACGTACTGTAATTTCAAAATGAAAAAAAAAAAATGAATTTTTTTTCCTCAAAACAGTAAGTTGAGGTTCCTCTAGGAGAATTTCCTGCCATCCTAACCTACCAGTGTCAAAACTTCATGGAAAAATGTTAATTAAAAGTTTACTCTCCTAACCACGTAAGCCGGAGGACTCTTAACATAAGGCAGGACAGTACATCACTTTCGTGAGCCTATTTCATTTCAAAATAAGTCAGTTTTTGGCCATAGCGCGCATACGAGCAAAAAGCGACATTATTTTTAAGAGGACGGGTTGGACTTCTCCATGCAATTATCATTTGAGTAAAGTGCGGAATGTTTGCCGTGTTTGCCATAGAGTTTGTAGTAATAAATTTTATGATGCTGTATTATGAAGAGCAGTTTGTGTAAATACATGTATTTGGAGTAATAACATGTATGCATTTTTTCTCAACAGCTGTTCCGAGAAGTACGAATCATGAAAATTTTAGATCATCCTAATATCGTCAAACTCTTCCAAGTAAGTCTTGCAGAGCTTCACAGGTTTACAGAACAGTACTGTGTTACATATTGATTTATGTTTTGTTGAAATAAACATTTAATTATCAGTTTGCATTTTGAATTTGTTTAAATATTTTCCCAACAGGTAATAGAAACAGAAAAGACTTTGTACCTGGTAATGGAATATGCTAGTGGTGGAGAGGTGTTTGATTACTTGGTCTTCCATGGCAGAATGAAGGAAAAGGAGGCGCGGGCAAAGTTTAGACAGGTTGGTAACAATACCATTTTGTTTCCTGTATTTATTATGGATTTTCTGTGGGGAGCCCCTACGGTGCCCTGGAGCTTATCGGGCTAATGTATGTTATATTAGACTGGGACATAAGCTAAGGAGTTCAGACCTACCAGGGACCAGGGCCAGAACCTGGCCCCTTCAGAGAGGTTTCAGGGAGCAATGGCCCTGGAAAACCCCCTTGTGGTTGGGGTTTTCCTTATCGGCCATCGACCGAGGTTAGGCACCCAGAAAGGTAGGCATAACAAAACAAACCCCACATGGTAAAAAACAAAAAATTGAACAGAGAGGTAGAAACTCTCTACAATCCCAAGGAAACAAGCAAATGTCACACTTTACTGCCGCGCCGATCGTCCGTGAAGCCCTCCCCGCCCTGAGAGGGGGAGGGGGGAGCCCCGGACCTCACCGTGCCGGCTGCCTTGCATCAGCCGGTCGGCCGAGCGGGCAGCACACTGTACTTGTGATCCTGTGGTCCTGGGTTCGATCCGAGGTGCCGGCGAGAAACAATGGGCAAAGTTTTTCACCCTATGCCCCTGTTACCTAGCAGTAAAATAGGTACCTGGGTGTTAGTCAGCTGTCACGGGCTGCTTCCTGGGGGTGGAGGCCTGGTCGAGGACCGGGCCGCGGGGACACTAAAAGCTCCGAAATCATCTCAAGATAACCTCAAGAAGTTCGAAAGCTAATGTCAACCGGGATAGACGCTTCTCTGGCCTAGGTTTCCTAGGCAGTGTTTGCCTTGTGTGGCGTTCACTGCTGTGTGTTGTGTTGCCAGGTGTTCATCAGTACCAAGGCTGCATGCGCTTAGGGGCTTCCTTCCCTAAACGCCCTGTGAGGACTGCCCCTGCGTGACAGGACAAATTGAATACAATTTGAATGAAGACTTGAATTTCTCTAAATTACTGAATTCCGTTAAATAATTCATTATACAGTATCCACTCAATTTAACGGCCTCTTTTATACCGATCTGCTGGTATTAACGACCGGTTTGGGAGCCCAGTAGCTAGAGCCTGCTATACCGGTCTGCGGTCGATATTACCGACAGTCGGTATTGGGTTTGTTGTGGCATCAGCATCCCCTCACATGGCGACCAGGCCGCCACCGACCTGGATCGTCCAGAGTCATATATTACATCTTAATTTTCTTTTAAAATGATTCACTTTAATGAAGAAAATTGTAAATTATTATTAATAAAATATTTTGAAACAGTTTTTATTAAGCAAAAGTCTTTGTTTTCTTAATAAATACCTTTTATAGTATGTATAGGCACTAGGTATTTTTTTTCCCACGGTCCTAGTATGTACTCCGCCGGGCCATGTGTTCCCATTGTTTACCGTGAACTCGCGCGGCTAGCTTCAATTGTGAAGGATATTACTGTACTGTAATTGTGATCTTTTTAATTTACAAAATGCCAAAAGTTACCCAAAGGAAGCGCCTGACGGTTGCACAGAAGCTGGAGTTAATTAAGAAACTTGATAAAGGATATTCTCATGCACGACCAGCAGCAGAGTTTAACATCGGGAAAAGTACAGTAAGTGACATCAAGAAACAGAAGGATACTCTATTAAAATATGCCTGAAAATAAGTGTACATACAGTATGTACCCTGTATACAACATAAACAATATAAAACAAGCGCTGCAGAGGATGACGTAATCTTCACAGCTTCGTAATCTTCAGCTTCATTAAAAGTAAGTCAATTTACCAATTTTATTATAGTATTACAAGATATTAATTGTTTTTTTTCAACAAAAGCTACATATTAGTCTCTGCAAATGTATATTCTATCGTCAGCAGAGAAAAGGTGAGCTCAAAATATTTCGTCTTGGCTAGCTCTCAGTGACAAGGCTCGATCGCCATTGTTATGGCATGGCCGCCACAGCGTGTGTTGTAACATTAAAAGTCAGTCAATTTACCAATTTTATTATAGTATTACAAGATATTAGTTGTTTTTTTTCAACAAAAGCTACATATTAGTCTCTGCAAATGTATATTCTATCGTCAGCAGAGAAAAGGTGAGCTCAAAATATTTCGTCTTGGCTAGCTCTCAGTGACAAGGCTCGATCGCCATTGTTATGGCATGGCCGCCACAGCCTGTGTCGTAACATTAAAAATACATTACCTGCACTGTTCAGGGTAAATCAAAACACATCTCTAAAATTTTATTAAGACAATATTAACTCGCTGATTGATACATGAAATATTTTTCAATACAAAGGAATGAATCAATTTTTTCCCACCCATCTGGACTTGATCAGAGCGTGTTTACACATCATCCATGCAGCAGCCAGCAACTGGCTTAATCGTCGGCCGTGCACTAAATTGGAATGCAATTACACAATGAACTTTATTTAATTTTAGTTATACAGTATAAAATATATCCTACCTGAATGTTACTTGAAAAATTACCCGACCCGACTTAACGTCGGAAATAACGGAGCTCCGTAAATAACGACTTGGGCTCAGCCCCATATAGGCTGTTAAATTGAGTGGATACTGTACGTTACTTTAAGGCAAAGGCGCTGGCCATTTTGTAATCTTAACTGCTAATCCCTAGAGAGATGACCTTCCTCTACTTGAGTCAGGTCAAGTACCGTCTGACTCCAAACTTTTAAAACCCCCATGTCTATGAGAGAATCTACTGAATAATTCCCTACAACAAACCTAGTTTTGTTACATCCGGGTGACAGTCGCCACTTTTACCTCTGTCATGTTGCCTGTTGGGTCACTGACACCTTGACCCGGAGTCTTGAGAGATTTTTTTTAAATTTTTTAAATTTTGCCCCGAGGGGTGAGTTTATTGGGCAGCGCCACTCATCTTGTGAGTGGACATACTGCCATAACAGCATGTACAACACTCCCCAATAGGAAGAAAACCCGCTGGGTTGTTCATCCTGTCACTTGTACCCAGGCACAGCTGGGACTTGCTTAACTGTCTCAAGTGAACAGCTCCTCAAACAAGAAGATTAACATCTATCAACCCTTAAAAGCTTACGTTATCTTGCGGGTGCAAAATGGGGAAATCTTTTAAGAACAGTATCAATATTTGACAAATAGTGTTTTCCTAACTCAAACAATGTGGGGTTTATTATTCTACACATTTCTGATTTCTCTCAGGTGTTCACATTCATGTAGATAGTGGTTAAGGCGGTGTCCATCACTCTCACCACAGATTCTGCAACTTCGCTGATCAACTGTTGTTTCCATTCCATATCTCCATGGATATTTGTATCCAAGACGGATTCTCGCTATTACCGATTCTCTCCCTCGTCCTCCTCCTCTTCGGCCATAATGATTGGGATTGCCAGCTGCAACCATGTTGTACCATTGTATAGATTCACTGGTTTGTGCTTCTATCCTCCTTTCCTCAGTTACCTTGTCACGGTGATGTTGCCTGACAATACCTCTAATTTGTAGTAGTCTTGGGTATGAAGTATTCAATGTGGTCTCCTTCAGCACCTTCTGCAGCCAGCACATCTGCTCGTTCATTTCCACATATTCCAACATGGGAGGGGATCCACAGAAACTTGATGATTCTTCCCTGATTGGTAAGTACTCTCACAGCTCTCTTAATTTCAGCGACTATTGCAAGATTTTCTGCCCGATTTTCACTTAGGCTTTGCAGTGCTGCTTTTGAATCGGTGCAAATCACTGCACCATTAGTGTTCCGTTCAAGAAACCTTAACGCCATAACAATGGCAGTTAGGTCTGCTTGCGTTGAAGAGGCATAGTTCTCAATACGCGCTTTTTCTTCATTTTTGCGTTGGAAAGTATTATCCTTGATTACCGTGTATGCTGCACCAGCCCTGCCATTGACAGGATTAGATGACCCGTCAGTGTAGATTTGATCTAGTTCATCTCCGGCTTCTTTATAAATTTCCTTGAGATACTTGTGCCTCATTTCTTGTGGTATCATGTTGGATTTTTTCGTTGCCATTTCATTGATGATGATCTTGCACGAGTCATCCTCCCAGGGAGGTAACCTCTCTACAGGCAGGAGCTCACGGGCTTGCTCAAGCAGGTGAAGCTCTTCAAGGTAGCAGACTGATCTGTGATGCCATTTTTTGCTTCTCCTGTTTCCCCCTGAATGTAGCACAGAGCTCAGTTTTTTCTTAGCAATATCATTGTAATGGGGATCCCTGGCTATCCTAATTGCAAGCTTAGCATTCAGCTCCTGAATTCTGCTTTTAACACTGGGAAGGGACAACTCCTCTCGTAGATTAGATGTTTTGGCAGTTCTTGGAACTCCAAGAATGGTTGTCATGGCTTCATTTTGAATGCTTTCAAGCCTTTTCATATCGCTTTGGGAGTAGGTGCACAGAACTGGTGCGGCATAGTCTATGACGGAGCGCACATAGGCTGTGTACATCATTTTAAGCATGGCAATAGAGGCTCCATGTCCATTCCAGGTCATAGCTTTCAGTGCCCTGAGTCGACTTTTGCATGTTCCTATGAGTTGATTGAGCTCCTCTTTCTTTCCCTTGTTAGAGCCAACAGTGACGCCAAGGTACAGATAGTGGTCAACCCATTCAAGTGTTACACCATTAATTTGCAGTTCTTCATTTGCTCTCTGCTTGTGATGGGAGTATGCCTTTGTCTTGTTTGTGGAGAGTGTGAAACCGAGCTCAATACATTTCCTTCCAAGGAGTTCAATGGACTGTTAAATTTTTCCCAAGGTGGGAGCTTGTATTAGGACATCTGCATATCCTACTTGTTGTGATCCTTCCGGAAAATCAATATTTGCAATGGCGTTCATAAGTACATTGAATAGTGTAGGGCTTAAGACTCCGCCTTGAGGGGTCCCGAGTTCCATATTCATTGTTCTGGAGACTGCTCCATTGAAGCAAACCTTGGCTTTCCTTCCTGCGAGTAGTCTTCAACCCATTTCATGAGTCTCCCCTTGACACCCATGCATGCAAGCTCGTCTAGGATCGCAATCCCCTGTGCTTTGTCGAAGGCTCCTTTGATGTCAACAAATACAGAGTACCTAGCCGTGTCATTAGCAAAGTAATTAACTAGACAATTTGCTGTGCTCCGTCCTTTAACAAATCCATTGACCCCCTCCCCTTACCTGCCTATTTTGTGCAACAGTCGGTTTAGGATGATCCTTTCAAGCATCTTGCAAGTGCATGACACGAGACTGATAGGTCTGTAATTACCAGGGTCATTAGGCTTCGGTATGGGAACAATTATTGCGCGTTTCCATTGTGTGGGCAATACTCCACTTAGGAATGACTTCTTAAACAGGTGGAGTAGTGGATTCCCAGACACTTCACAAAGTGCATCGAGTATGTCGTAGGTGACGCCATCTTCACCAGGTGCTGTACATTTACCCTTTTTCATAGCGCCCCTTACTACTTGGGCTGTGATTGGTTCCCCATACTCGTCATCACTAGACAGTGCTCTTGTTATCCTAAATCTTCTGTCATGTCGCAGGAGTTGTTCCCTGCTGATTTCTGCAGGGAGGGAGGAGGAGGAGGATGCTGCATCACTCGTGAATTGGTTCCTCAGCCTTACCCTGGGGGTCTTTGTGAGCCACAGGCCGGGCTCTGCCCCCCTTAGCTATCTGAATTTTTGCCCACACTTGTCTTGCAGATGTTTCCCATCCAATAGAGCTAGTGAACTCAAGCCATTGTCTTTCCCGCTCTTTAATCTTCTCTTCCCTGGCTACTTGACACACAGTTTTAAACAACTCTTGGTTACTTTCAGTGGGATGTCTCCGGTACTCTCTATTCACGTCTTGTACATTTGCGTTAAGCATCTTTATGTAATCATTCTCATACCATTTTATTTTCTTCCTCTGAGGGTTACTTCGCCCAGGTGTACGGCGTAGAATTCTTAGACAGCTCTCAATTTGGTGATTAACACTTTCGCGCTCTCCGCAAAGGTCACTCAGCCAACCGAATGTGCGCGCTGCGTTTTTATCGCTTAAGCGTAAAAACAAAAATGTGTATACTCTTTTTACTCTTCTGACCTTAGTTCTCATGCTACGTATTTCATTTTGGTACCAACGTGTTCGCAATAAAATTCTCTAGAAGAACATCAGTAAAATAAGTCACGAAACATATAGGGATACCAGCACCAAATAAATAACTACGTAGATGACTCGCCGTGAGCGCCCATCAGCAACAAAATGTTTTTACTCTTGGGATTGTAATCACCTCCACACTTGTTCTACAGCGTTAATTTTGGTATCAATAGACTCGCAATGAAATTCCCAACACGGTGCTATGAATATAAGCGTAGAATAATGATGCAGCCCGCCCGCAAGAGTGTGGGAAGTGGTGAAATTGTTTTCCGGTATCGGTGACGGGACGACGCACGGCGCTTTGAAAGTTTATACTTATTTCGCTCTCATGACATTAATTTTTTATGTACGTCATTCATTTTTATGTCAATGTGTTCGCAATAGAATGTTCTATGTGCCCATAGGTAAAAAATATCAACAAAGCGTAAGTTAGAATAACGACAAATATAAAACAACGCTGGAACATATCAGTGAGCGTCAAACACACACGAAATATTTTTACTTTTGTTATGTTTGTCAAGTTTATACTTGTTGCACACTGTTATTTTTGGTTGTATATTGATCGGAATAAAATTCCCTAAACAGACATATGCATATAATACATGATATAGGGGAAGAATTACCAGTATAAACGGCTAAAGTCACCAACCTGCAACCCGTTTGGGACAAAATACCATTTGATCGAAGTTATCCACACCTTTCATGAACTTATTGTACCATGAAGCCTAGTGGTGAGAAAGAGAGCCTCATGGCGCGCAGTTTGAAACAAACCCAAAGGAAATCGGATAAAAATTGAATTTTATACAAATATTTTAAAAGTTGACATAACTTTATGTCCACTATGCGTTAGCGTTAGACGAAACCGAACGCGCCGGCGCGTCCAGATAGCGCGAAAGTGTTAAGGTCATCAACAAATGTGTCAATGTCTTTTGGGATTTGGTACTCTGTGAACCAGTAACTCATCCTGTTTATGAAGTGCGGCCTCATATCTGGTCCGAGTGATAACCTTTTTCTTTTATGTCTCTTACCTTCTCTTGCTCATGTCGACGGTGGTAATCAGTGCCCAATGGTCACTACATAAACTGTGCACAATGTGTGTACTGGCATCCGTGTCCTGTGCATTCAGCAGGAGAGCATAGTCTAATCTTCCTCCTCTGAGGTGAGTTGGCTGTTCATTACCCAGAACTCTAAGGTTTTCACTTCCCCTGACAAGGAGTGACAGTTTCCGTCCATTGACATTGGGCTGATGACAGTTGGCACCAAAGTGTGGGTGTCTGGCATTCTCTGCCTCTCACTGGAGGTCCTAAGAGTCCATTTCATATATAACCAACCTCGCGCACATTTAGAATGGGTACGGAAAAATCAGAGTTTTCTTGGTTGGCGCAGTTTTCCGCCAACCGAAAATACTCGGCTGGCGCAGTTAAGTGGTTAATGCGACAATATCTGGGACTTTGAGCTGAATTATATCCTTCAACTCCAATATTTTTTATCTCACTCCATCTATAGTACTCTCGGGAATATGTTCCCCTTCCCTTTGTTCTTTACACCCCTTCCTTTAATGATTTTGTTGCTTTGTCTTTATGTACCATTTCACAAGCTTTCCAGTCCCTGACACTTTGTAGAGAAAAGAATTTCTTTTTTCTTCATTTCTATCCCCATTTAGAAGTTTTGCTTCAATGAGGTTCATTTTCAGCTTTTCTCTGCCATCTTTTGAGAGGTCTTGTCTTATTGGTCAAAGTTTGCCATTCTCGTCACATTGCAATTTTCTGGTATTCCAAAGCACTTCTTTCATATACTTCACTTCATTAAACGTCACCCTTAAGGGGTCGGTTCTTGTCTTTCTCATATTTTCCTATACTCCTAAAATCACTAACATGCTTCTTTGAATTTAGGCCTTCTCCTAATCCTACTATTTTTTCTATGATTTTTCATCTCTTTTGCTGCTCAGTCCACCCTAGATGAAATTTCCTTCTCTAAACATCCAAAAATTATGGACTTCTATTTACAGTATTACACACAGAGATCACACTAACGTGATGCATCAAATTTTGCAAGTATTTACCTCCTTAAAATTTTCTTAGATTAAGGACCTGCCCGAAACGCTGCGCGTGCTAGTGGCTTTACAAGACTGTAATTACCATAATTGTATCCTCACATTCCTTATGTACATTCTTGTATATGCATAAATAAATAAATAAATAAATGAACAAATCCACAAGGGCCGTGACGAGGATTCGAACCTGCGTCCGGGAGCATCCCAGACACTGCCTTAATCGACTGAGCTTCTTCCCTTTGCAGGGGGGGGGGGGATTGTGTAAAGTTCTGGTTTGTGCCTCGGAGAGGCTACGGGATCCAATAAGTTCAGTAGAACTTCGGTTTCAACCCTTTTAACCCTGTCGTAGCTCAGTCGATTAAGGCAGTGTCTGGGATGCTCCTGGACGCAGGTTCGAATCCTCGTCACGGCCCTTGTGGATTTGTTCTATTTACAGTGTTTTGTACCAGTTTACTGTTGGTTACCAGTTCTTTCCTAATTGCTTGCCTAAGATCAGCTTCTCGTTTATCATTTCTGGTTTTGACTTGCAAACATACTTCCTAAATCGTCTCTTTCTTTTACAAATTGGGCATACGACATTCTATTTTTTTTTTTTTATACTTTTCTAGTTCTTTATTAACCTCCTCTGTGAGTTGTCAATGAAGTTTCCAGTTGCAGATCCTTGCCTAATTATGTTAGCCCTCAGGATCCCTTGGAGTTGTTCACCATGTGAGTCTATTTTCTTGTTTATTTCTTCAGTCACCACACTTCACTTTCCACACCTCATTTTCTTTCACTAGTTCCTCGATTTGCTCCTCCTGATTTGTTACCTTGTCTGTTAATGCAGTAAAAATCTTACCTTGCTGAAGAATACTTCCTTTTTAGAGTGCAAAGCTCACTCCTAAGAGCTCCATTGTGCTCTTCCAATTTAAGCACTTTCTTCATACTTCTTTTGCATATCCTCTAACCTGCCAAAAAACACCTCCTTTTCTTATATCTTGTGGTGAGAATCCTTTGAAACGGTAGTCTGTTGGTGTGTTTACATTCCCCGTGGTGGCAGCGGTGGCCATCTTTGTTTTTGTTCTAGAACAAAAACTAACTTTTCCAACTACTGTTTTCCAACTACTATTTTCACTCGCCTCTACTTGTTTGTCTGTGTGTGTGTGTGTGTGTGTGTGTGTGTGTGTGTGTGTGTGTGTGTGTGTGTGTGCATTTTTCTAGTAGCATTTACTGTACTGTTAATTTTAAGTATTCAAGTTCATTTCTTTGTGAAATAATTATACTAGTGTTTGTTTTTCAGATTGTGTCTGCTGTACAGTACTGCCACCAAAAGAAAATAATTCACAGAGATTTAAAAGCGGAAAATTTACTCCTGGACTCGGAAATGGTGATCAAAATAGCAGATTTTGGTTTTAGCAATGAATTTACTCCAGGGAATAAATTGGACACATTCTGTGGTAGTCCACCATATGCAGCTCCTGAGCTGTTTCAAGGTTGGTTATTCAGTATTATTCTTAAAAAGTTACTGCCCACAGGTAAATTCATTTACAGACATGACAGAAATTACCTCTGGTTAATTTGAATTTTATATAACTTAAAAATATTAGTTCACAAAGGTAATGGAAACAGCAAAGTTGCTTGTTCTAGTTTTTTTTTTTTTTTTTTTTTTTTTTTTTTTTTTGTATATATAGGCTACACAAATCTCAACGTCTAATCTTGATTAGATGTTGAGATGTAAGTCTTGTCCTAACCACACACTCAGACCTTGACAAAGCACCCGAGAGAGTGCGAAAGACTTAATTTCAAGAAAGTGTAGTTCCATTACATAAATTTCACAAATATACAAGTGTGGATTTTTATCCTATGTTATTATGTCTGTGAGAAGACATTACTATCACCATGTAGTGTAAGTACAACAAACCTAAGCCTAGCTATTTATAATTTTGTTTACAGCAATAGCTTCTAAGTTGAAAGTTCTTGCTTATTATATACTGTACAGTACTAGGTTATCTGCAAATCATAATGCAGCGCTCTGTCTGTGTTTTAGTTTGATTAATATTAAATGCAACATAGAGTACATACATGTTTGTGAAAGAAATGAGGAGAGTTTCTTCATTGGTAATCTTTATAGAAAAACATTGGCATTGACTGTCTTGCATATGTTAAGAATTTTGCTGCAAACTGAAGCTTCCATATATTTTAGATGCTGTTATCTTGGCAGGTAAAAAGTACGATGGTCCTGAAGTAGATGTTTGGTCTTTGGGTGTAATTCTCTACACTTTAGTTTCTGGCTCATTACCCTTCGACGGATCTAATTTAAAAGAACTTCGAGAACGGGTATTAAGGGGTAAATATCGAATACCCTTCTACATGTCCACCGATTGTGAGAATCTGCTCAAGAAGTTCCTGGTGCTTAACCCAGCGCGTAGGGCATCACTAGAGGTAAGTGTCACAAATTTAATGAGTGATTTAGTGATTGTGAGGTTCTACAGATTAATTTTTAGGATCACCAGTAGATGCATTATTGTTTTGCTCTAATTGTTTTTTATTGACAGATTTTCAATCTGTATCTGAAACATCTCTTATTGTCAACTTAAGTTTGTACTCATGTTTGAAAAAATGTAGATTGAATTTAGCATTGTTGCTCCATAGAATCTTGTCTTTGGGGTATAATCTTTTTGGAGTATCATTGATTTGAAGGCAACTGCAGTTTGGTAATAAAACTGGGCTCGGAGATTAGAACTCTTCTCAGAAACCTCTCCGGGTATATATATACTGTGTGTGTGTGTGTGTGTGTACTTACCTAGTTGTGCTTGCGGGGGTTGAGCTCTGGCTCTTTGGTCCCACCTCTCAACTGTCAATCAACTGGTGTACAGATTCCTGAGCTTACTGGGCTCTATGAAATCTACATTTGAAACTGTGTATGGAATCTGCCTCCACCACATCACTACTTGCTGCATTCCATTTGTCAACTACTGACACGGAAAAAAAATCTTTCTACTGTGTGTGACTCATCTGGGTGCTAAGTTTCCTCCTGTAATTACCTAAGTGTAGTAACAGGATGAGAGCTATGCTCATGGTGTCCTGTCTTCCCAGCAATTTTTGTCAACATTTTGAAACTACTGATGGTTTTGGCCTCCACCTCCTTCTCAACTTGGGAAAAAAACACCTACTGGGTGTTCTTTGAAAGTAAGGTCTTCTGACATGATTACTCTCCAATATTTTGCATTGCTTTTTTCTTCAATAGTGTGGTTTGACTGCATTTATTTTAGGTTTTCATTATTTCCTTAGAGCAGTAACTGAGAATTATCTTAAACATCATGTTATTTTCTGTGGCCCATTGGAGGTTTGTTGTATCATGTCTACTTGTGAAAATCCTAGTGTCATCTGAAAAGGATGATACAATAGTGTAGCTTGTATCCATGTCTGTCTGATAACAGAATGAGAGAAGTACCAGAGCACAAGCACAGTACCTTGGGACTGTTTTTTCATTGTAGATGATCCAAATTGAACTTTAACTTTTTCACTTTAGGTTCTGTCTTGAGGAAATTGGATACATTTTCCTTCTTTGCCAGTAAACACCATGGTCACATTTGTCAAAATCTTTTGCAAAATCTGTATACAGCATATTACATTGGCATTTTGCTTGCCTCTCATAATGTGTTAAGGCCAGGTCATAGTGGTCTAACAATTGAGACAGAAGTGCCATCTTGTGAACCCACGTTGCCCAGGATTATGTAGACATTCTGATTCGGTGTGTTTTGTGATTGTATTTATTAGCACTTTCAGATTTTTAATGTGTTAGAACTATTGGTCTCTAATTTTTTGTCTGCTTTACTACCTCCTTTTTGGAGTGGCAAGAATTCTGCAGTTTTAAGAATGTTGTGAATAACACCAGTATCTAGGCTCTCCCTCCAAAAGATGCTTAGGGCCTGTGAGTGTCTTGCCATTCTTTGTGAATATATAAATCCAGGAATTCAGGCCTGGTGCAGTGCATGATGTGTGTGGCTACTTCAGTTTTCAGTGGGATTAGGTCGACATCTGATATAGTTGGATATTTGTACCACATTCATTAATAATTCTTTTGGATCATTTATCTTCAGTGTGTTCAGGGAAGCACTGAAAGCAATCATACTGTAACTTCAGTATTTTGGTCATTTCTTTATCAGTGAAAATTCCATCACCCATATGCAAAGGCCCATTGCTAGATGTAGTTTTTGTTAAAGGATTCAGATTTTGCACAAGGGAAAATGTACTTTGTAATTCTATTTCACAGATGGTCTTTTGCACTCGTCCTATCCTGAAGTTTGATTCTTCCAACTTAAGCTCGATAGTGTCTATTTCTATTTATAACGTTCCTTGTCATTCTTGCAATAGAGTGGAGCGTTTGAGTTCTGCAATCTATCTTAATGCCTCTAGAGGCAATGTTGTTCTTGTGCCAGTTTGCATCTTTTTTTCTTTTTCTTAATGGTATGTGACTTGAACACATTTGTAGTGCTGTTATGCCTATTTTCTTGTGGCACTGGTTTAGGTATGCATTATCTAGCCGTTTCTACAAGGTGTTTCTACACTTCTCTGGTGTTTCTACACACCAGCTTATTTCTACAAGGTCTTGGTTTATTTTTTACCATTTAATCAATTTATTAACATTTAATTTAATGAATTTTGTTTCTCTTGGACTAGAGACTGGCTGCACAGGTCTATTGTCCATGCATGTTTGAACTTCGATTAGGCTGTAATCTAAGTAATATGTATTTTAGCTTAAAAAAATCATGATCCTCTTTATGCCTCTGTGGTGGAATTTTGCATTAGTGTGTGGCGGACAGCGTTAATCACCACCACCTCTGTTTAGGGCACAAGGTGGGGGCAGGAGGCTAGACCCTGCTTTTAGTAGAGCCTGGCAAGATGGTATGGGCCCAAGGGCATAAGCATAAGCTCTGAAGAACCACTAAAGGAGCCACACCAGGAGTTTAAAATTAAATGTGTAGTTTTGACTTGTATTTACTGTTAAAAAATAACTGACTATTTGCAGTGATTATTTATATTTTAATATTTTATGATGTAAATGTTACCAATTTCCTATTAGAATATATGGTTCATGTAACTCGATACCAGGCCAAAAGTGTTCCCAAAACAGAATATTATTATAAGTGTAACCAATACCAATAATAGCATTTGAGGGGATGGGTAGAATTCTGTACATAAAATTTCTAAGGAGAAAAGACTGTTATTACCAAGTGTGCTGTGACCAATTGTTGACATTTACATAATTCAAAAAGTGTACATATCCTAAGTTCATGAATTGCACATGGATTAACTATCCAGCTGTTATATAGGACCCATGTTTTAGTGCTGGTTAGCATTGTAAATGTGTGGCCACGTTTGTGATAGAAAATAATAAAAAAAATAAAATAACCATATTACCCTCCTTACTCTCCCTGTGGCAATCCCCTCCACTTTCATCAACTTATTCAGGATCGTTATCACACTCCATCCCTTTCTGAACATTTTCCAGGTCAATATTCTCTCCCAGCCTCTCCAATTATTCCATGGATCTATGTCAAATCCTTCAAAAACATTAACCTCACATTCATTCATCTGTGCCTGTACTAGGAAATGTCACAAGCTTATTAAAATATCACAAGCTATAAAAATTAGCCTTGCTATAATTAATCTTAAATTGTCATCATACGTGTGTGTTGATACCTCGCCCAATTCCACTATTGCTTGAACCTTGTGCAATTTCAGCTCCCTCATCTTCATTTGATAACTTTTTTACTGCCTTGCAAAATTTAATGTTAAACAAGTTCAGGAAAATGTTGTTTGTGAATTAAACATTCTAAATAAACTAAATAATAGCCTAAAGGAAGTTGGTTCTTTGAATTGTTAATGCTCCTGGTATGGCAGCTATACCTAACATTGCACCCTTTGTTTTATGACAGCCATCTAGCGAGCCTTAGATGGCTCACTAGATGGCTGATAAATTTGATAGTGTTCGCAATAAAAAGGCGCGTATTTTAAAACTAGTCCCATAATAGAGCAATAACTGGAATTTTAACATTTTAATTCTGGAAGCTCATCATCACAAAATTATTTATATCTTGCCAGTGTTCTGACATAAATTTTTGTGTTACATCTTTCATTTTGGTATCAAATTGTTTGCAACGAAAAGGCGCGCATTTTAAAACTAGTCCCAACATAATAGCACAATAAATAGAATTTTAACAAATATTTTACAATTTTGACCAAAAACCTATTTATAATCATGTAAGTGTTCAGACATCAAGTTTCATGTTACATCTTTCATTTTGGTATCAAATTGTGCGCATTCTAATGGCACTTCTTTTGATACTATCCCGAGGTCGATTGGATAAAAAATGAATTTTATACAAATATTTTTGTAGTGGACGCAAGTCCGGTCCTCGGTTAGGAATCGGGAGAAAAATAATGGACGCGAGTCTGGTCCAAAGTAACCGATAGTGTTAATCCCTTCCACACCCCAAAAATATTAACTTAAAAATACATTATATACTGAATATAATTTTTTTCTCTAACTACAATATAGTACATACGTTTATCTTACCTTTATGGAGGACTCTTGATGCGTATGGTAGATTGTGAGGAGGAGGGGGGGAGGAGGAGAGGTGTTACTGTTTGGAAGGGGAGTCCCCTTCCATTATAACATCAGGCAGTGAGGACTTCTCTGGAGTACACACTCTCCTACATTTTGCCTGTATACCTCTAGGACCTGGTTGTGATTCACTGCTTGTGTCTCACTAAAAACCTTCCATAGATTTTTGTTTTTCCATACATTTTAATTTTTGTTTGTAGTGAGGCATCACAGTGTCATTAAATAGGTTAAGACAACGGTCTACTGCACCATGATTTGGGAGAGTTGTTTCACACAACCAACCAACCGTACACATTTAGAATTGGTTACGAAAAATCAAAGTTTTCTCGGTTGGCGCAGTTTCCCGCCGACCGAGGATACTCGGTTAGTGCAGTTAACTGGTTAATGAAGGGTATGCATTCTCCACAATGTAGAAGCCACAACAAAATCAGATGAGAGAGAACCCCCCCCCCCCCCCCCTTTCCCCCAAATAAAATTGCTGGACATTGGTGGAAGTAACAGGTATTGGCATACCTGGTTGATACCTGGTTGATGGGGTTCTGGGAGTTCTTCTACTCCCCAAGCCCGGCCCGAGGCCAGGCTTGACTTGTGAGAGTTTGGTCCACCAGGCTGTTGCTTGGAGCGGCCCGCAGGCCCACATACCCACCACAGCCTGGTTGGTCCGGCACTCCTTGGAGGAATAAATCTAGTTTCCTCTTGACTATGTCCACGGTTGTTCCGGCAATATTTCTTATGCTTGCTGGGAGGACGTTGAACAACCGCGGACCTCTGATGTTTATACAGTGTTCTCTGATTGTGCCTATGGCACCTC